CTTTACTGCACCTTCTAAACTCAGAGGATGAATGCATGAACACTGAAGTCTTATGTAATTACTTGCTAGGGAAGACTGGTCTCCATGTGGATGCTAACAAAGGGTTTTTCCTAAATCCATAGTGGACACGGAGCAAATAAGATAGACTTACACTCTGCCTTGTGCAGATTAAGAGTCTAAAATAGACTTGGGCTGGAAAGATGGCTCAACAGTTAAGAGCCCTGGCTGCTCTTGTAGAGGACCCAGGTTCGATTCCCAGCACCCACATGATGGCTAACAGCCATCCGTAACTCCAGTTCCAGGGCATCTGATGCCCTCTTCTGACTTTCACGGGCATTGCATGACACAGGTACACTTACATACATGTAGGCAATGTATTCACACACATAAAATTTTAAAGAAAGAGAAGTCTGTAGTAGACTCTAAGAGACTCTAAATGTAGGGAGGGGCTATTCTAAAGTATCATGTGTCGGGGAGAGAGACCCACACTTGGAGTAGAAGCTTGGCTGGATTGTCATGCTCATGGGTTAGACGACCTAGGATGGACTAGACTTCTTAGATCTTTGATCCTCTCTCTGTAATAGCTGAGTAATGCCACTTAGACTCTTGTGAGGAAAAAATGAACACCGCTCAAGGAAGATAAAAGCAATTTTTATCTTCTTTTGTGTCCCGGGAATTGAGACGGTAGAGTCTACTTGCCAACTCCCTTGTCTTCTGTCTCCCCCTTTGCTTATGGAGTCTTAGAGAAACATGTTTCCCTCCTGATTTATTGTGTTAGAAATGTGTTTTCTCCCAGTCACCCCAAGTACTCTAGTCTCTTCAGTACCTTCTTTTTCACTCAATTTCTATAATATTTTTTAAAAGCCTTATGTGCACTCCAATACTGAATACTGGGCATTGTGCAATGTCCCCCTGCCATCATGATATATAGACAGCTTCAAACACAGTGTTCCAAAGGAATTACAGAGCCACGTGAGCCAGAGCCAAGACTGAACATGACTGGATGTCAAATGAATGGTATGAGACACGGACTTCCAGAATTCTTGAATCTGTCCTGGGTGGTCATTTGAACTTGGCTCCCATTTACCCAGGCAAAGCACGAGAACAGCATTTGAATCCACCCCACCACATAAGAATGCCATGACAATGTGTGCTGAGAGTGTTGAACTCTTTTGATGCGTGGTTATTTAAGATATAACTAGAACCAGAGAGAGTGTATGTGGCTACAGTCTGATCTGTGAAGCTGGGAAAAAATTAGAATGCAGTTGGAGGAAGGCTTAGCCTACTCAGATTTCAGTAGCTGATGATCTACACAACCCCAGAGAGACCGCCATTTTTTTTTTAAAGACAGGGTTTCATGTATCCAAGGGTGACCTTGGACTCTTGATCTCTAGCCTCCACCTTCCAAGCTCTGGAATTATAGGCTTGCTCCGTGATGCCCAAATTTTTGCTTTGTTTCAGTGAATGAAATCAAAGCAACATTCAGGAGATTAAGAAAGTATGTGAAAAGATAGCAAAGTCAACTAGAACAACATTCTTGACAGAGTATACCTAAAATTAAAGTGTGTGGGGTGCTATCTGGGAGAGGGACAGGAGCTAGCAGAGTGGGGCAGGGCAGTGATGAAGGGGGACAAATCAGAATAAAGTGTAATGATACATGTGCGAGAAAATGTCATGACGAAACCCATTATTTTGCTAACCTAAAAAATTAATTAAAAAAAGGAGGCCTGGGAGGTAACTCGGTTGGTGAGGGGCTCTCAGGCCCAGCCCTGTGGTCTCTGTCTAGCAGCACATAACTCAGGCATGGTGATGCATACCTGTAACTGGAGCACTTGAAAGCCAGCATCAGGAGGAGGAGAAGTTCAAGGTCGTCCTCAGCACATGGTGAGTTCCAGTGAGGCCAGCCTGGGATACATGAGACCCTGTATATAATTGATATATGTGTAAATTTATATATGTGTAAATGCAAAAAGAATTTGAATGGAAGACAAAACTTCAGCATGCCTATCTACATTTTTGAGATGATCACATCCAGGACAGATGACAATGACTCCTAAGTCAGCGTTTTTTCTCCCCTTAGGTGTTTTAAACAGAAATTCTGAGGCTAGGAAGATGGCTCAGTTGGTTAAATCCTCCTGTGCAACTCAAATTCAGCTCCCCAGCACCCATGTAAAAATAAAAAGCTGGATACCATGATGTGTACCTGTAATCCCAGAGCTAGGGAGGCAGACACAGGGGGATCCCTGGGACTCACTGGTCAGACAGTCCAGTGAATTGACAGAGGCACTGAATTGGTGACCTCTAGGTTTAGCAAGAGAACCTGTCTCTAAAAATATGGTAGGGAGCGACTGAGGGAGACACCACTATTAACTTCCTGCCTTCTCTCTCTCTCTCTCTCTCTCTCTCTCTCTCTCTCTCTCTCTCTCTCTCTCGCCCCCTAAAAGTTATGATGCCTTAAAGTCTCTTTTAAGAATTTAAAATTACATATGCACTCTCAAATTTCTTCTTGTTATTGTTTGTTGAGACAGGGTCTCATTGTGTAGCTCTGGCTGGCCTGGAACTTGCTATGTAGACCAACCTGACTTCAAACTCACAAAGAGCCATCTGCTTCTGCCTCCTGAGTGATAGGGTTAAAGGTGTGTGCCACTGGGTCTCGCTCCAATTTGTATTTAGTCAGAATCAGGGCTTGTAAACATTAGTCATGTCATATAGTGTCCAGTAACCCAGAGCTGACTGCTCTGATCTCGTTGTCAGAACTCTAACACTTCTATGCCCGAGTTCTCTACAGGTCCACAAAAGAAAGTAGGTCAAACAAGTTACCGTCTGGGGTGGGAGAGAAATGCACATGTGTCTCACTCAGAAAGAAGGAATTTACTTTCTGCTGAGTTTCTGCTGATTATATAATGGGATAGTTTTACTGATTCTAAATTGAAGTGTGAAGTTTTGAAAATACAAAGGTCCGGAGAATCAGGTAAAGGACAGTACAACTTTGTGTATTTCCATTTTACTCACATCCAGTCACTTCTGAGATGTTCCTAGCTGTACCTTCAAGATGTCCCTGAAATACCCCAGTTCTCACACCCTCACAGATGTCCTGTCCCAAGTGCCCCTGATCTCCTCTGGATTATGGGAGCTTGCTTACATCCTGATGGGAGTTCTGAGCTCAGCACCCTGCTTGCTCGGCGGTTTTCAGTGGGAGGCTTCCTTCTCTCAGACTGGTGTCTTTGAGGCTGGAGCCAGAGCCACAGCTCACCTTGACTACTGTATTAGGCTCCTGTGGCTGCTGTAACAAAGAATCACACATGGGGTGGCAGATGCAGATGTTTCTTTTGCCACAGTTTTGGAGGCAGGAGATCTGAAATTTGTTCTGCTGGACAATAATCAGGATTGGCAAGGCCCTGCCCAGGCTCTATGTGGGAATGGCCCTTTGCCCCCCATAGCTCCCTGTACTGCCAGCATCCTTTGGCTGGCAGCTTCCTTCCTCCTATAGTCACATCCAGTAGTCTGTGGTCACATGTCTTCCCTCATATGCATGCCAAGTCTTCAAATCTTCCTCCTTTTTTTTTTTTCTGGTTTTTTGAGACAGTGTCCCTGTAGCCCCAGCTGGCCTGAAACTCACTATGTAGACCAGGCTGGCCTTGATCTCATAGAGATAACCTGCCTCTGCCTCCTGAGTTCTGGGATTAAAAGTGTGTGCCACCACCTTGGCTTTTTCTTGCCTGTTTATAAGCATGGCCATTGTAGTCAAAGCCTACGCCAACAATCCACAGAAATCTCTCTTATGTCAAAATGCTCAAACCAATCACATTCTTTTCCCCATATGAGGTACCAATATCCATGGGCTCCAGGAATAGGATAGACATACTTTTGGGGGGCTGTGTTTCAGCCAGTCATGAAGACTGTCCTTTACTACCCATGGAAGAAAAGATTCTCCCACCAGCTCCAGTTAGGGATGTCCCACCTCTGACAGACCCAGCAAGAGCCACAGGAGCCCTGGAGGAGATTGTTGAGAGGGAGTGGGGGCTGGGGAGGGGGCCTGTCGCTCTCAAAAAGAGCAAACTGGGGAGACTGCTAGAAGGATGAAAGCTGGGGTGTCCCTGACATTATTGCTTTAGGGTATGAGATAAGTGGGGGTACATTTAAACAGTAGAACATTTGCAAATTCCAAGAGCGCTGGGATCTGTGGGAAGCTGCAAGAGGAGTGAGCAGCCCCCGCAGGGAACCAGGACAAAGCAAGGCTAGGTGTAGGCCATCTCCCCAGGCCACAGTTAGGCAAGAGGTGCCAGCCAGGTCTTAACATGTGGCTGTCTTGATTCTGTCATTTTGTTACAGAAAAGAGATTCTGCGATTCCATTTGTATCATTTCCCGCTGTAACATTTTCCCCCTTTCTGCAAATGACACAAATCTGGTCAAGTTTTGGGTTGCCACGTTGGCTAGCCCATTTGCTGTCTGTGGTGTGGTTCAGCCATATCAGGTTGGTTTGCAGAGAGCAGCACGCAGCACCTTGACACTCTCAGCGCCAGTCTTTGTCGCCTCCAGGGGCGCTCCTAGTTGTTTGATTTTCAGGCTGGGAGCGAACCCAAACCAGGATGTTATCCGGCACAGCGGGAACCCAAGGCAATGTTAAAATTACAGAAAAGGGGTCAAATAAGTTCTTGGCTGGGTTTATCCCGCGTGCTTAAGGCCGGCTTCCGTTTCAACAAGTATCACGCGCTCTTCTGAAATGACAGCCAGGAGCAACACGGTCTAGGGACAACTAAGAACCCTTCTTCCACTGACAGCGAGTCGCAAAACCCATTACAAAACGCAGAGAGAAGGGTCGCGACCAGGGTCTCTGAAGTTGAAAGCAGAGGTATTTGTTTAAGGGGACAAAGTGCATGACCAAGTTTGGCAGCGACTGGACGCAAAGTGGGAGTTAGACAAGGGGAGGGACTTCTCTGGTCCAGCGACCCCGATTTCTTTTTTCACAAGAGCCCAGCGGGGTCCGGGGACTCCAGGGGCTACGGAGCCCCTGCGCCCCGCCCGCCTGGTCCTCGAGCGCCGGCAGGGGGCGCCGGAGCGTGGCTAAAAGGCGCAGCCAGCAGCGGGTGGCCCCAGTGGCGGAGCGCGCGGCGGGTGCGTGGCCAGGACCCACCGCCCGGGGAGGAGCGCAGCAGGCACCGGACCCTGGACGCCCGGCGGCGGGGACCCGACGGCGTTGCCTCCGCGCTCCCTGACTTCGGTGCGCGCCCCGCAGGCCTCCCGAGCGCGATCCCCGCTCATCCCGGGCTCCCCATGGCCTCGGAGGCCCCGGCGTCCCCGAGAGCGCTGCTGCGCTGGACCGCACTGCTGCTCCTGGCCGCGCTGCTCCCGCTCGCGTCCGCGGCGGGGACCCCAGGTACGGGCGGTGCGCTGGCTCCGAGGTGCACCCGGCTCTTGTCTCCTCCGCTCATCCTCCTGTCACACTGGAGACCGTCGCCTCCACTCCGTGTTGTCTGACTGCGTGTGTCACTAACCTGTGCGTCCTCGTGGGTCGCTGTGTGTGGGCGCTGGACGCTCTGCGAGTGGGAGGCGGGCTTGGGGACACCGATGGCACCAGAGAACCGGGGCGCTTTTAAGTGTCCTGGAACACTCAGGGGGCAGGGAACTGGGGCGCATCTCCATCCCCAGATATCTTCGGGAGATTCAGGCAAAGGAAAGTAACTTTGGGAAAACTTTCTTTGCCTAGACTGTCCCTGCGGGTCCAGGTGGGCATCTTCTTGCTCACCTGTCTTGGGCAGGAGGGGGTCACTAGGGAGGTCCCAGGGAGGCAGAGAAGCAGGACGATTCTCAAGGACACAGGAGCGTGCTCCAGGACCAGAGCTCTTACTGGACTGCGCTCCAGACAGCTGGAGCCCTGAGCTCGCCAGGCCTGGGACTTTTGCAGCCTTCTAGAAGACGACTTGCAGGGAGGGAGAGGGAAGTGGGACATTGGGCTCCAGAGAACCTCACCGTTCTAGGAGGCTGCGCCTGCAAGGGGGATGGATGCCATCTTTGCCAGCAACGCTCTTCGGAAGAGGCTGGTGTGCGCTTTGTTTTCTTGTGTGTTTCAGTCACGAAGAGCGAGGCAGAGAGCGAGGCAGAGAGCGAGGCAGAGAGCTTGTAGTGGGATTTCATCCCTAAGCCCCTGGTGGCCCCGTTTCCCTCTCCAGTGCATGTATTTTTCACACTTGAAACTGTCGCTTTTATCTATGCCCTCAGTTTATAGGAATCTAAGAAGTAGACATTTTTTGCTGGTACTGTTCAGCCCCAGGAGGGCTGTAAAAATGTAGCTTCTTTTCCAAAGAGGGCTACTTGCTTTGTATGCTGACATCTGAATTGCTTTCTTCCCACAAGGATAAAGGGAGATAAGTTGGGGCCACACTGCTTTGTGACTTTTGTGGTGCTACAGCTTGGTGGAATTGTGTGCCCTGTATTCTGATGCCAAGTTCCTCTTTCATAAAAGGTCATCCAGGCTGTAGGGTCTTTTCGCCACTGTTCATGATCTCTAGGAAAGTATTCACTTATTATTTGTGTAGCAGCTTGGCAGAATGAATCTATTTTAGCCTTCCAACTTCCCCACCTACAGTTCCACAACTTTTCTTTTTCTAAGCTAAAGTTTTCCAAGTGTTGAATGAGTTTTTGTTTCAGAAAACAATCTTAAAGTGGAGCTTCTCATAAGTGGTGGTAGTACCAAGCTCATTCTTTTGGATTCCACTGTCACCTGACGGGTCCTTCCCTTTGGTCTGTGTGGAAAGGCAGGGCTGTTTGTGAGCCCTTCCTTCATTTGCCTTCTGCTCTGCAAATCACTGTGCTGTGGAATGTTGGAGTTGGAAGGCTTGTTGGCACTTCTCTCTACTATGTTGACGTGGGATTTGCAGTAAAATGATGACCAGAGTAGAAATGGACAAAAGACACAAGCACGTTTCAAAGTGCCTATTTACCATACTTAAGTTTAATAAGACAAGGAAAGGGGCAGACACAGTACCCTTCAGATAACGTGCCAGGCCTGGGAAGAAGTCACAGAGCACATAATTTATTTCATGGGCTTTTTGAGAAAGCTTCCTTCCTGTCTTGCCATCCACAGCTGCAGTGGTTGCTCTGTGTTTCTATCTGGTGGCAAGGCCAGGGCAGACTTAATGCACACATCCAACAACCTGCTGGTGACAGTCCCACCTCTCCTCCTTTGGGTCCAGAATCTCTGAAAGGAAATTGCCCAGAGCCACATGGATAGTGGCAAATCACTATAGCTTCTTGGAGATTTTCTTTTCAGCACACACCAAAGATCTCAATAAACCCTGCAACTTAGGGTCAAGTAAAACACAGCAAAGCAAGCAAGCAATGTCCCTCCCCTACCACATCTACTCCTACAATAGGTTACTATGCAAACATTAAAATAATGGTGGTTCTTGCCAGTTTGTAGGACATATCTTACTGGAACCATGCATACATTTACAGTGGACGTCTAGGGGTGGTCATGGTGATTTTTATTTTCTTCTTTAAAGCTCAAAGACCCTTTCAAGGAATCCTCAGGGTTAAAATGATTTCCAAATTAGGGGCTGGAGAGATGGTTCAATGGTTAAGAACATTGACCATTCTTGCAGAAGACCCAGGTTCAAATCCCAGCACCCATATGACAGCTAACAACTATCTGTTAACTCCAGTTCCAGGGGATCTGACGCCCTCTCCTGTCCTCCTTGGGCATTGCATGACACAGGTGCACTTATATACATGCAGGCAATACATGCATACACATAAAATAAAAAATAAAAATTTTTAAAAAGCTTGGTGAGAATAATAACTCTCATCTAATGAGTCAAGGCAGGAACACTGCAGTACATGAACAGTTACTGACCTTTTCAGTAACTGGAAGAAAATATGCCAGTTTTAATTAAGAAAATCCTAATGTCTTTATGTAGAATTATTACATTTTACCAACTCTCTACCTTAGAAATGCATGTCTTTTCAAATAATCTGTGTAAAGCAATGGACAGGGTACATAAATTGGTTCTGGTGACTACTTAAGTTCAAGGGTAACCCCAGGGAGAAACACCCATGTCATCTGGAGTTAGCAGTTGAATTACTTTCTTTTTAAATGGAATACTGCATTTACTTAACCAATGACTGCAGACAAACTCTATAGCTACTGACTCATACATTTTTCTTTTCAAAATGAACAAAGTGAGTCTGATAACTCCAGTGGAATAATTGCTAGTATTTCTTGGTAACGATGTAATGAGTTTTTTTAAGTTAAAATTTGAATGTTGCTAAGTTGTCTCAAGTTGTAGACGTGAAAACTTCCCAATATTAGAAACTTTTCTAATGACAATGAAGACACGAATGAATGAGACTTGAAAATGTCATGTGATAAAACACGGTAAATTCAAATAGCTACCATATAGACTTACAAAACATGCTGGGGGCTGGGTAGATGGCTCATTGGGTAAAGGTGTTACCTGCACAAGCCTGGCAGCCTGTATTCAATCCCTGGACTCATGGTGGCATGCTTCTGTAATCCCAGCACTCCTACAGCAAGATGGGAGTTGGAGACAGGAGAGTCACCCAGGAACTCCTGGTCAGCTAGCCTGGAACACATAGTGCTACAACAGAAAGAGCAAGAGAGACCTCATCCAGGTAGAAACTGAGAACAGACTTCCAAAAGTTATCCTCTGACCTCCACACATGCATTATGGTCCACACTGTGCATGTACACACATACACACACACACACACACACACACACACACACACACACACACACACACACAGAATCTAATGACTATCTTGCACTTTGAATGGCTCCTTTACCCATGTAACATTTTAGTGTGTGTGTGTGTGTGTGTGTGTGTGTGTGTGTGTGTGTGTTGCTGAGAACTGAACACAGGGCCTGTGCATGCCAAGTAAATGCTGTACTACTGAGCTATGCCTCCTGGTCCTAGCACAATGAACTTACTTGTTTGTTTTTGAGACAGGGTCTCCTTGTATGTAGCTGGCCTGGAACTTGCTACATAGACCAGGCTGGCCTCCATCTTACCTGCCTCTGCCTTCCTCATGTTGGGATTAAAGGCGTGCACCACCATGCCTGGCCCAATGGACTTTTAATGTAGAAGAATATGATTTTTTAAAACCTGGTTTCAGATTTTATAATGCAATCAACCTTTAAGAAACTTCTTAAAGAATTCTTGTGTAGTATAAAATATTTTCTAAAATTATCCAATAAACTGTGAAAATACTTTCTCCATTATATACTGTGGGGGCCAGATTTTCCTCAGCCAAAAAAACATTTTGCAGTAGATTGACTGTGTAAATAGATGGGAGGTTCAAGCTACCTTTTGTTAAGGTGATTTGCCAAAATGTAACAAATACTACTTTCCTCATGATTCCTGCTTATTTTGGAAAATATAATTATTTTTCCAAAACTTTGCCTTATGCCAGGATGTAAGGATTTCTTATGGTTATTCTGAAAATGAATCAATATGTGTACTTATTAGTATTGGTGTTGTTATTATTTTGTGTGGTGGTGAGGATCAAACACAGAGCTTTATGCATGCTAGGCAAACACTCTACTACTGAGCTACGTTCCCAAGTGGGTATGTATTTTAATTTTAAAATAGTTTAATTTCCAGTACTGTAGCTAAGGACAGATAAGCCACATTTAAGCATAACTTTTGAGGGAACCTTATAAATGCAAGAGTAGAAAGGAACCCAGAGTCCAAAAACTTTGAGAGCTCTTGGTACATACAGTGGGATGTAGAAGTCAAGACCCTCGACTGGTAGTCTCAGTGTCATCACAGCCTCTCTGTTGGCCCTGGCCAGTCTTCACTCACGGATAAACCTGGCCAGTGGGGATCTGTTCATCTCTAGAAGCTCTTGGCAGCTTTCCTGTGGCCCAGCCTGCCTCTAGCTCAGCAGCATTTCTGTCCACTTCTGTCGTCTTTGCAAGCAGGTAGAACCCGTTTCTTTCAGCTTGAGCTTGTGAGCCCAACAGATAGACAACCTCTTCAGTCATTTTGTGAGAACGACGGAATGTTTTACTGTGGAGTTGGAGGATGTGATGATGGGATTACAGAGTGACAGTTGATGTCCCTGGAAAATCATCACTAGAGAATTCTGAGCATTAACAGGTCCAATCTTCATTTAAGTCATAGTCGCCCATCCCTCACCCACAGAAGGGAGAAAGGTGTGGAGTGTGTCTGTTTCCCATTGCTGCTATAACAAATGACTACACACACCTTCCGACTTAAAACAGCAGGGATTTATTTCCTTACAATACTGGAGGCAAGAAATCCAAAATGAATCTCTCTGGACTAAAATCAAGGGCTGTGTTCCCTCTGGAGAATCAGGGTGAAGGGCTATGTGTGATCAGTTTTCTTACCTTTT